CCGCCGCCCCCCTCCACCCAGGCCCTTCTCTGGCGGCAAGCTCCTGCAGGCCCACCTGTGTGGCCGCCTGCCGCGCGACACGCTGGTGGTGGGGTACGACCCGGGGGTGCCTCTCGCCACCCTCAGCAGCGACGTGGCCACCTGGTTCAGGTGCGGCTGGTTCAGAGCCGGCTCCACGCCTGCTCGGCGCACCTGGTTTCGCGGCGCCGGGGACGATGCCGCTCGCGACTGACGCCTCGAGGACTGTGTATTTGCGCCGGACGGCGCGCAGCTAGGGCCCCTGGCGGCATGCGCGCCTGCAGCGGCGCTGATGCCATGCCCTTGCAGCCGCACACCCAGCGATCGCCGTGCTTGCTGGCAGACTCACTCTTTCCGCCCCTCCCACCAGGCCGCTGGGTGCACTCCTCGACAACGTGGCCCGGGGCTACGCTTACAACCCTGTCGGATGGGCTCACGTCACGCGTCAGGCCGCCAGCGCACCCTCTGCGCCCTGGCAGCCACTCACATGGGCCGGCACGGGCCCCGCGGCGCCGCTGGTGTCACCGGAGCTTATCGCACCCCCCACGGCCGCGCCGAGCGGCGCCGGCGGCGCAACTAGTGCCTCCCGCTGGGCCGTGCCGCCGAGCGGCGCCGGCCCCGCTGCGCGGCAGTCGCGGAGCGACGGCGTGCCTGGCGGCTTGACGAGCCTCCATGCACATGCAGGCGCTTGGCAAGGCGGTGTCATCGGCCCCGAAAGGCTTTTGCCGCAACTGCAACACTTGCAACTGCAGTCGTTGCCTCCCCAGCAGCAGCAGCTGCCACTCATGCAGCAGCACCAGCACCAGCACCAGCAGCACCAGCACCAGCAGTACCAATACCAATATGATCATGGATATCATCATCAGCAGCAGCTCCAGCAGCAGCAGCAGCAGCAGCAGCTCCAGCAGCAGCAGCAGCAGCAGCAGCAGCAGCAGCTCCAGCAGCAGCAGCTCCAGCAACAGCAGCAGCAGCAGCAGCAGCAGCAGCAGCTCCAGCAGCTCCAGCAGCAGCAGCTCCAGCAGCAGCAGCTCCAGCAGCAGCAGCAGCTAACTCAGCCGATCAGCCACACTCAACTGACAACGAGCGCCGTGGGCCCTTCAGCTGCCTCACAGCATGCCGCCAGGTTTCAGCTTACCCAAATCACGGATGGCGCTCTGGACGGCCAATCGCTTGGCTCCATGCAGCCTGTGCTGCTGCCTCTGGAACAGCAGCACCAGCAGCAGCCGATCATTTACAGCGTATTCCTGCCTCCAGGCGCCGGCCCCTCGCAGGGCGCGGCAGGCTTCCTCGTACCCAACGGGCGCGACTCTTGCTTCCCACTGGAGGCAGGCGTGGCCTCTGGCCTTCACGCGCTGTCCCCACATGCAGGCCACAGTCCCTTGCTGCTGGACGGCCCGACAGGCGGCAGCGCGAGTGGGTTTATTCCTCCAGCAGCCATGCCCGCGCAGATATTTGCTTTGCAGCAGCCAGGATCGATTGGCGGCCTCGGCGAGCCCTCGGGGTGGTATGTCAGCAGCCCACTGCTGAACTAGACACGTCTTTGACGCATTTCTTGAAAGTTTTCTCGTCCAGGGCTGCCTCTGGGATATGCTGGGCACCATGTGTCTTTGACACACCGCCCGTGCAGAGCAGGTGTGTGCGCCTCCTACCGCCCACCATGCTGAACGAATTGAATTCCCGCCCCCTTCGCCGTTCCATGTCTAGTTTTCCCTTCATTGCACGCCCTGGGTGTCGCCGCTGTGGCGCATCCCTGGCTGGGTTTGTTACGGGCTTATTTCAAGGTGCTGCATCTCTTGGCCAGCAACCTCCTAGCTTGTGGAGGGGCGCTGGGTCTGTGATCCACAGTGGCGGGCAACCCAAGCTCCCTTTGAGCATGGTGTTGAGCAACCCTTTGAGTCAACCTCGCACTGCAGCTGTGGTACTTTCATGTTGCCTCACTCTGTCATGGCAGTGTTGACTCAAGGTCTTTGCCTTGGGGCTGTCATGCAGAGCAGGTTTACTTGCCCCAACATGGACGCAAGCTGTCACGGGAGCACATCAGTGTGCAAACGTGGTTGGGATTATGGGTCACCCCATTCGAAAAAACCCTTCTTAACATTTTCTATCGCGTCTCATTTATACGGCACGCCCCAGCGGGCCTTGTTTTCTTCAAACACTGGACCCGACGGGTCAACGCCTTTGGCTATCGCCACGCGCCTCGCATGACCTGCACCCTGTCGGGCTGTCGCTCCGCCGGCTGCCCCGCACGGCTTGCGTGGCGAGCTTCGCAACTGGTATGTGCAGGGACGAGCAAGTCGCCAACACCTCTGCGCTCACCTTCTGCCGCCTGCTGCTTGTGCCTTGCAGTATTGCATCACGATGATTGATGATAGAAAGTGTCACCTGGAATTTGAAGGTCACTGCAACCTCCCGTGGACTGCCCAGTCGCGTGTGCACCCAACGTGCTTTCTTATGGCCACGCGAGCGCACAAGGGTGAGCACGGCGGCCAGCAGTGAGAGTGCGAGCGGGGGGGCGACCGCAACCCGCAAAGGTGCGTCCCTTATGGGCTTTCTCAGGTTTGCTTGTCTGTATCCGCCTCTGTCACATTCAGCACTGCGCTATTCCAACCTAGCCCCGGACCGATCAGCTGCTTGGCAGTATGTGAAGTTGGCAGCCGCGACAGACGAGTTGAACCCGCTGCCAAGCACGTTGTGGGCAGCATTGCGTTGGCATGTCTCGCATGCCGCGACCTCTACGTATTTGATCCCCAGTCTTTGTAAGCTCTCGTTCCATGGTGCCAAGAACATGGCATGAGCTGGGGATGGCTGGTCCAGCTGGGGCAGACTGCTGCCATGCACATACAAGGCCACACCGCTGCTAGCAGCCGACGGTTAGTCTGGTGTTTCAAAGCAGCGGTATAATATTAAAGCAATGGAAAACTCTGATGCTCAATCACTACAAAAGCCAACAGCAGGACATGTGCATTACCAAGCACCTGAAATAAAGCGCAACAGCTGATTAAGATTGGGTAACTGGCACGAAAGGGGTGTTGATAGATTCATTTTGTGTTGTGTCATTGCAAACAAAGAGGCGGCAAGAATGGTTAGCCCTGAGCACCCTGAGATAAAACAGCCCTGATTTACTGGATCCCCAGATGTATGCTCGCACGTCCGCAACAGCCAGCCATCGCCACTGTCTGTGCGCGTTCAGTGTGATTCTTGGTGTCCCCGCGTCCCAAATCAATGGCAGCCGTTTTCAGCCCTGAGGTCCATGCACCAGGGAACCCACCCGACCCACTCCACCCACCATCTGTGACCCGAGCCAACCTCTCCACCAAATCCAACCCTCGCCTCCATGCAACGCACCCCCCACGCCTGATTGTTCCACTGCGTGGGGCCCCGTCGCCGCCCCTGTCACTATGACGTCATCACCCGGCCCACACGTCCTCCAGGTACCGCCCCGCCTCCAGCAGGCTGCCCATCCAGTTCTGGGCGGACGCCTCGCTGCGGCCCCCG